TCGTTAGTCTTATCTAGGATTGATTATTGTAACTCGCTCTACTATGGTCTTCCTGACTCTATACTCTATCCTTTAAGTAAAGCTTTTAACTCTGCTGCTCGTCTAGTTGCTCGTGCCCCTTTCTTTTCTCATATATCTCCATATCTTGTTCTCTTGCACTGGCTATCTATAAAATATAGAATAATTTTTAAAATTTGCACGTTCATGTATAAGTCTCAATCTAAATTATTTCCTAAGTATTTATCAGATATATTAATTGAACCTAAACGCCCCGGCTTACGATCGTCTTCTTCTTCTCGCTTTTTCTTAACTCGTGTTAAACACTCTTTTGCCAAATCTGCTTTTGCTTTTTCTGGTCTTTTTCTCTGGAACTCTCTACCTACTTCTCTGACTACTTCTCCATCACTTGCGAAGTTCAGAGCGGATCTCAAGACCCATCTGTTTTCAAAATTCATTGAGGAGCGCTGTTGAACATCGCGGAAATAGCGCTTTATAAGCTAATTGATTGATTGCTCATTATCCGCACCGCACTCGCACCGCACCCTCGAAAAGACAACCTAAATCGGCCGTCTTAATCTCATGCTTAAAATTAGAAGATAGCAACACTTGAAGGCAATCTATTTACGTTATAATTATAATCAGACTGCAGATAATCTGCTGAGAAGAGTAGAAGACATATTTCAATTTAAAAAATTTTTAATTTAATAATTGAAATAACATCGGCCAGAACAACAAGCACAAAATGAACGACGATGAGGAACTTATAGAAGATCATTGATCCATCAGGGGATCGTCGAGGACGATGTACATCTAAGAATGCTTTTTACATTTCTTTTTTTTTCTTTCCAAAAACTTTTTCTATCTTTGGCCAGTTTTATTGAATTCAGAATACAAACACCAGATTCAATAATGTCATCTTCCAAGTTGATTTCTGATGGTTTAGTCCTTTACTTTCTACCTCCAACTGATTCCCAACAAATTTCGGTAACACTTCATTTCAAATGCTTCAAGTCTGTAAGTCTGTCTCTATTTTTATTGTCCATGTTTCACATGCATAGAGCAAGCTCGGAAAAACGCAAGATTCTATCATTCTCAACTTTGTTTGTATAGATATATTTCCGGTTACGGCGCGGTTATCCGCTTGGGGCTCCAATTAAATCATATATATATATATATATATATATATATACATATATATATAAAAATTAAGGTCTACTGCATTTTTCCTCTCTCTCTAGGTTCAGGGAAATCAGTAACATACAAACATATGAATACGTGAAAAACCAGCTAAACGATGCATCACACACGAGGCATGGGAGGCGGGGAAATTTTCATTTTAAGTATAATCGAGCACGGCCACTACACGCGTAAATTGGATAAACACGTTCGTATATTTAATAGTTTTGTGGGTTTGTCCACTTTAACTATTTTTTTATCGCAAACTTATATATTTAATACAAATACAAAATGCAATGAAAAAATTAAAAACAGTCGAGAAGAGCATTAACGCTTTAATTAATTTTGCGCTACCATTACAAAATAAATTGACATATGAAATCATGTAAATGATTTTTACATTATATGAGCTTTATCATACTTTTTCAAAACCACATTTCTTATTTCTTGAAACAACGGATGTTCAAAATTTGATCGACTTCTTGATCTTGATCGATTTCTTGATCTCGTTCGATTTCTTGATCTCGATCGATTTTTTGATCTCGATGATCGATTTCTTGATCTCGATGATCGATTTCTTGATTTCGATCCATTTCTTAACCTTGATCGATTTCTTGATCTTTTTCTGTTGTCTGATATTGAAATATTTTCGTTTGATTTGGAGCTGTCTTCGTTAAAATTATTATTTGACATTTGTGTTGGTGATTCAGGTCGCTTGCATGGTGATTTACGGCATTTATATGTTGATTTTATTTGTGACTTACTCCTTGATCTATCTCTTGACTTTTTGTCAGAATAATTTCTGGAACTGCGCCTGGAATAAGATTTTTCTGTAGAACTCTCTTTATAAGTTGATGGATTCTGTTTTTTGGATTTAAAAAGGTGTTGACAAAAAGACTCAGATTCCTTTCTTTTTTCACTTGTTTGTGATTCACGATTCGATTGGTGTACTAAATTATTTGGGTGATCAAAAGTTCGTTTGTACTTATCATTTTGAGCAAGATGACCGGGATTGGTGAAAACATGTAAAAAGTTGCAATTTTTCCCTTTCAGACACATGTTTCTATTGAAAAGTCCTGGAAGATAATAATTAGTGAAGCATAAGAAAAAGTTTTATCATATAGAACAAATAAATATACAAAATTATATTTTTTATTAACCACATATAGCGTATTTCCAATTGTAAACAGTAACAAAAGAGCATGAAAGTTGCCTCTTGTCAAACCAGCGACCATTAAATTTTCCGAAAGCTTCCAAAGCATGTGCCAACCTTTTAAATGATTACTTTTAATATGTGATATGTCAAAGCTTTAAACGGTTAGGGTATATAACTTACTTCAGGTAATCAACATAAACATTGCCTCTGAGGTGCGGTTCGATGTTGCAACAGACAGCAAACATGTTGATTTTTCCAATTTTACGAAATTCTGGATATACATCATCATAGAAAGCCTTAAACTCCTCGTATATATCATTTTCTTCAAACTCTAGCAATATATCTGTGAAAACGTTTTTAACATCAACGAACAGTAACCTAATTTCAAACAGAATGTGATTGTAGAAAACCTGAATTGTAATCATTCCTAAATGTTTGCTGCAGCTTAAAAGAATTGAACATGTTAGGAAACAGAAGAGTAGTACTTTGTTGAGGAATAATGTGAACGCGAGAACATCTGGTTAAACATAAAATCAATTGAATGACAAACAAACTGTCTTGATTAGCTATTATTATTATGTAAGCACAAGAACGAAAAAATTATTCGTGAAAAAAGTTAACGACAAAAAACAAACAAATATGTACTTGTTTCCAAATTTACATGCTCCAACTCTTCTAAAGAAAGAACACTCCTGAGGCTCATCTCTAAGAACGTATCCTGCAGGGGCTTCTGGGTTATGCCAAACTTGTTCTTTTGACGACTAATCCAAATATTTCATTTTTCAATGACATCATGTAATCATTAATTAAGAAGCTATTTGCGATTGATAGTAATTGAATATAATGAATATACAAAAATGATTGGAAAAATGAGTGATCTGTAAAACAAAATAAAAAAGATACAGCAATTTTGTTTGGGCGTTTTTTCCGTTACTCTGTTTTTGTTTTCATAGAAAATTAAGGATCATCAACTACTGACGATTTTAGTAAATTTCAGTTTTTGTATGCAACATAAATTAATTTAATAAAATTAATAACAAAATAATATAAACAATCATTTCTGGCATCTTTTTTCGAATTCCTAAGTGAGTTGTCAAGTGTGGAAACATGGCATGGGGTGTAGAGCAGAGTCCTTAGTAAACTCTATCTGATCTCGTTATGAAGGTAGACAAATAAAAAAAAAACAACCCAAAAATTTAATAAAAATAATAAGCTCATAGTAATAACAAAAGTAATAGTATTAAGTAGTAGGAATAATAACAGCAATAATAACAATAATAATAATAATGCATCCTTATAAGGCATCATTTTTCTCACGGAAGAGAAAAAAGTAAATGTTCTAAACAATAATGCTCACAGGTGGTAGAGCAGAAAGATAAATTGACCTTAAAACCAAGATGATGTGAGGTTGAAAATTAACGTCCAACCTGATAAATGAATAGACAAACATGTAAACCAAGAAGTGGCCAGTTTTGTAGTTTGCAGATCTCAAACTAAATGAGTCTGTGAACAACTTCAGAAAATAGTTTATGGCCAAGAATTTTGCAATATGATGATAACTTTGCTTGGTTACACAAGCTATTAAAGTGGTGAGTAAAAAAAAACACTATAAAAAAAAATAACGAAAAAAAATCAGTAGGATATTTGAGCAGCTAAGAAATGGTTCAACCTTATTGGAACCATCATCACATTTTTTAGCATTCAAATATTCTTTCTTTTTTTTGTCCAGCTCTTCCTTCACAAGTTTCTCTTTTCTTTGTTGTTCTAAAAATTCTTCTCTGATTTTTTTCTTGATTAAATATGAGATATAATGAAAAACAATTAAAAAAGGTGTGCAATATTAATTGAATCTATAAATCATCAAATTATTATCTATTTCTTTCTTGTAACAAATAAAATAACACTATCTTTAAAAAAACATCCAACAAACATTTCATTTCTTCTATCCATTCATTCACTCGTTTG